GGGATACTAGCGCCCTCAATGACAGAAAAGATTAAAAATGATATTATGTGGCAATGAGTATCCATCTAGTATTTAAGAAATTACTTGTGAAGCAATTACTCGTATCCTTATTACAAGATATTTCATTTCATCAAAAACTTTCAAACATACTTATTTTGGGGGCGGTTTATACAAACTTTAATACCCAAGAAGTACGGTAGAGTTTTTTACTCTAGGATGATATTGCAGGTTTGGTTCCAGGCCACTGTGATAAAACGAATATCACAATAAAGCAAGTCATAAAAATGTTTTGTTTCATATAAAAGTTATGTTAACACTGAAATGCAGACTATTAAGTGTGCGGTAGCATTATGCCTAAAACAAAAAATGTGTATACCTTAATTAAAAAACACTTTATTGCTAAAAAGTACTAATGATCATCTGAGCCTTCAGCGAGTCCTAATCTTTTTGTTTGTGGAGGGTCTTGCCTTTATGTTGAGAGTCTTGCTCTGGATTAGGCTTTGGCTTAAGGGAAGGTTGTGGCTGGTTTGATCTTCTATCCAAATCACTCAAACCTTCTCCATATCAGCAAAAAGACTGTTCTGCTTTCTTATCATTCATGTGCTTTCTGGACTGGGATTTTTAATCGCCTTCAAGAAATTTTTCTTTGCATTCACTCTCTTATGGTTCAAGAAGTCCAGCTTTTATCCTATCTTGGTTTTTGACATGCCTCCCTCATTAATAGCTTTGGATTTAAAGCTAGAGACATGTGATTCTTTCTTTCACTTGAACACTTACAGACCACTGGGCTATTAATTGGCCCAATGTCAATACTGTTGTGTTTCAGGGAATATGGAGGCCTGAGGAGAGGGAGAAAGCTGATTGGTAGAATAGTCAGAGTACATACATTTCTGGCTTAAGTTTGGGGTGTGGTTCGTGATGCCTCCAAATAATTACAATAGTAACATCAAAGATCAGTGGTCATAGATCAGCATAACAGATATAATCATTATGAAAATGTTTGAAATATTGAGAGAATTATCAGAATGTGACTCAGAGACATAAAATGAGCACACACTGTTGGAAAAATAGCACCAGTAGATTTGCTCAATGTAGGCTTGTAAAAATCTTCAATTTGTAAAAAAAAAAAAAAAAAAAGAGCAATATCTGTGAAGCTTAATAAAGCAAAATGGAATAAAATGAAGTATGCCTGTATAAAGGTAATTAGCTGAGGATGGGGAAAACATTGTTATGATTGAGAAAGAAGGAAGAGAATGTGTTATCAAGATGAAGTAAAATAATAGCATAATTAATACTTCATTTCATTTGGATATTTCATTGTAGTTTTGTGAGATTTAACATTATTTATACATTGGCTTATTTTGTAAATTGTTATTAAGCATCTCCCACATGTTCAGTCTTTGACTAATTTTGGCATTTATAATCTTGAAGACATAATTCTTCTTCTCACTGGTTTTGTAGCAATTTTACTCCAGTCTATGGGATGTGACCAATCCATTTGAATCTCACATTTGAATATTACTTTAGGATCCCGGACAAGTTATTTATGAATAAAAATTAGTTTACTTTAGTTTCCTTGACTATAAAGTTGGACTTTTGATAATTATTTATTAAATTTATTATAACAATTAAGTAAAACAATTTTAAGGGTACTTAGCAAGATGTTTAGTATACACAAAAAGCTCCGTGCATATTCGCTATAAATTAAATAAAGCGAAACCAAATGATCTCTTTAAAAAAATAAATGAATATATAATTTTAATTAAGTTTAAGTTATATTTACCATATTTAATGTGACAATAAAAAATTGTGAAAATGTGTGATCTAATAAATACATTTAATTTTCTTATGCTGCCCTGAATCTCTTATCTTCGATTGATTTTGTTTCAAATTTGTAACGATAACTGACTCTACTAACTTGACTCTTCCCTTTTTCTGAGTGAGAGGAAAAGTAAATAGAAAAATTGGTCTCTTTCATTTTTTACCTTCAAAAATTTACTTACAGAAAAAAGTACCTTCTTTAAAAATAGCTTTTCTCCTTTATTGGGGCTAAGGGAAAACTTCCTCATAGCCTTCCAAAATTTTGCTGAAAATCACTGACAAGAGAAAGATTAATAAGAGCAAAGGTATACAAATGTTTTTGATCATAATTTTATGTGACATGGAAGCTTTTGAAATGTCAATCCAAAGATAGGGGAGAAATTGTCCATTTTTATGCATGGTTCAACCAAGTATGGACAGCCATGTAGAAATATAACTGGACAAAAAGGGTTTGATCAAATGTTAATTAATAGACTGGGGAAACCCACCAAGTTTAGATTCTTCTTGACTTCTTTGCACAGCCTTCCTTCTTTCTGGGAATGGGGCAGGATCTTCTCCGGAATGGGGTCTTAGGAACTACAATCAAACTAAGTATGTCAGATAATTTCTTTATGGCCCAGTTTTACACAGAAAGTTGGAGGGGGGCAGTTAGAGTGGTATTTTGATGTTTTATGACTGCCTTTTGGAGAAAGGTGTTCTGGTTTCTATGACCCTTTTGGGGGTCAAGGGATTTTAGTTTCTATGGCTAGCCTCAGGGGAGAATGAAGTGCCTGAAAGGGAGGCCGGTGGGGGGGTGCATGAGACGGGGGCAGGATAAGGGCTGCTTCTGAGGCCTTCATCCTTGGGTATCATTTTTGAGCCCCCACACCCTAATAAAGTACAGGAGATGCAGGGTCATGGTCTGGCAATACCTTGAAACTGGGATTTTCCAAAAAGTGTAATGGACAGTACAGAGCAAGTAAAATGGAGCCTGAGGACACCGGAGAGAGACTGACAAATGATTTTTAAATACGGAGATCATGATAAAGAAGGATTAGCAACAGTAAAGGGTAATATAAAATAGAACTCCCAAAAAGAGCTCTCTTAATCTCTAGCTTCTGTAGACATCCCAAAACCTCAGGGACAGGCTTTCCCTCCCTAGAATGTGGGGATGGGGAAGCTGGAGGAAGCAGAAGGAAAGTTGTATGTGGAGGGCCGTTTGCTCTATGGATGGCTTTAATTAGGCGCCACTATCACTTCTATATGACGGCACACTGCTCCAGAGTCATTTCCACATTCCGCCCACTTTCCTGTCCTCTGTCGACAGGGGTGCTGATTCCTGTTCATATCTATCTCAGAGACACACAGGGTGACTATCCCTCAACATACATTCAAAATAAAGCAAGTTCTTGCTTAAAGTACCCACATCGCCGATTGCACACTCTGCTACCCGTCACTTGTAGGGCGAAATAGACAAGCAGGGGATGTAGTACACGGAAGATGACTTCTTCCAAAAGTGGGCAGGTGGAGAAATGGACTAGGCTTGTGTCTCAAATAAACCATTTCAAAATTTTAGGCTAAGACTAGGGAATTTCAAGGAGGAAAGAAGGAATGAGGGATATTTGGGAGTGGTACAGGGATCTGATCTTGCTTCAATGGTTATCTGGAATTGCCCACCTGGAGGGCTGGCTCATATAATCCCAGTTGTGAGCAATGGAGAAATCTGCCATGGGGTCTCCAGACTCTGCTATTAAATGATCAGCCTCTGGAATCCCACAAGCAGTACACAATAGATTAGGAAGAAAAGGAAAAATATATCTTTATATAGTGTAGGCTAAGAGAGGAATCCAGGCAAAGTGAGGTCCAATGGGAGGCTCAGAACTTCACCTGTACATAAACGACTTATGTATGCAATCCTGACTTGAACTCCACAACTTTAAAATAAAATAAAAAAGTTTAAGAAAGAAACAGACAAATTAAATTCAAAAAAAAAAAGAGAGAGAGAGAATGAGAGAGAGGAAAAGGCTTAAAACCATTTCTTAAAAGCTGAAATGGAAATTCTCGGTCACAACCAGAGTATCCACCAAAGACAAATTCTCTGAATAAATGAGAGGTCTGGGCAATGATCTAAAAAAAAAAAAAAAAAAAAAAATTCAAACCTACGAATCCCCCACACCCCACCCATGCATGCTCTTTGTTTTTTTTTCACTTAGACTGAGGGTGGCTGCTGGGTGTGTGCAGGCAGATGGAACTGGAAAAGAGAGGCACATTCATAATTCACGAATTAAAACAGCCTGAGGGATTTCCAGTAAAAGTTAGTCCTAGAAGGTGCAGAAACACATACATGTGTGACTGTGTGTGTGTGCGTGTACAAGGACAGATGGTCCATGGCATTTTTACCTGTCAGGGACAGGCATTGAACAACGACCATCTCTTAGACTTTTTAAGAGACAATATCACCAGAGAAATTGGACAAGTTTCTTTCATACACCGAGAGTAAATTTGTGATTATCTGGGAATTTAACACAGTTTCTGAAAAAAAGCTGCCTGCCCTGAGCCCATTGGGCAAGACAGTTTTCCCACCTGACAAATCTAGGTGCTCTTGTTCTGCTTGTTTATTTTCACCCTACAATACCACACCCTTTTCTTACCTAACCCCTCTCTACCTGTACTGGACTTGCCTAAGCTCTTCTCCTTGCCTCCCTCCTTCCTCTCCCTGGGTCTCTAAAACCCTAGGGAACCCGTGCCAGTGTTTTGAATCCCTAGATTGCTCTAGCAGTGAAAGGAGACAGATTAGGAGCTGGGGCACATTTGGTTGAAAGGCAGCTCTTTGCTTTCTTCTTATGCCGCTTCCCCTTCCTCTTTTCCCAAATAGATATGTAAACACATGTATTTTCCTGTTTAAATTTAGCGAATTGGTCCTCTGCCTGTGCCTTGATTTAGCTATTGGGCTTAGCTTTGCTCCTCCCTTCCCTACTCGGATAGGAGCCACTGGGATCTGGAGCTCCAGCTTCCAAATTGAAGCTGGCCTCAGGCCAGGTGACCTTTTCTTTGTAAGTTTCTTTCCTAAGAGGGGGGGCGGGGGAAGCGGAGAAGGGGGGG